GACCGTTTATGCTGGATCCCGGCATACTACAAAAACTTTTCCAACCTTTGGTTGGTAAATTCTGTACCATTATCAGTCACTAAGCATTTAACCTTAAATTTCTGTTTCCTTTCCACAAAACACAGCCAGTTGTTAATATGCTGGAATGTTTCACTTTTTGTTTTCATAAGATAACAGAATCCGTATCTTGAATACTGGTCTACTATGCTTAGAATATAGCAGGCACCTCCTATGCTATGTTTTTTGTGTCCAATTAGGTCTACAAACACTACCTCTAATGGCTTTTTGGTTTTAAAACCATTAACATGGTTTGCTGGTGTTACCTTACTTTTTTGCTGATTACAGGCATTGCAATTCAGATATTTACTACATGCTTGTAGTTTTATCCCTTCAGATAACTGAACTGTTTTCTTTAACGTCCTGAAATTTAAATGCCCAAGTCTCCGGTGTAACAGATGAATACATTCATCATGTGGTTTAACATTCTTATAAACAGACTTAGACTTAGCTACCAATACTGGGTTATCCCTTAAAATAAATAAATCATTTTCTAAACTTGCAGTAACAACCTTGCCATCTTTCTCAATAAAACACTTATCATTTTTAAATGTTACTGTAAACCCAAATTGCAATAATGATTTAACAGATAAATTTAATTTTAACCCATGAATATATAACATAGGCAATGGTTCATTACTAAATGACCAACGAGCAACACCCTCTCCAGCTACCTTAACCTTCCAGCCATTTGCTAGTTTAACATGTTGGTTACTCTTCTCCATTTTAACAAAAAATTTTCTATTTCTAGAAATAGATTGAGAAGCACCACTGTCAACAACCCAACAATCCTGGTTAACATCAGTAGTTGAACTGGATATAGCTAAATTACAACCCTTCTTGGGTCTAGTATTGTCCCTAACAGACATTTTCTTATTCTTACAATACTTAGCTATATGCCCTTTAGCCCCACAAGCAAAACAACGTTTTACAAAATAGGCAGTTGAATACATTTTTTCTTCTTTTGGTTGTTGCACTATCAACTGATCCCTTTCTTGTCTTCTTTTGGATTCTTCCTACCGGTTATGCCAGCCAATGTCAGTTCATATCTGGACAAAACCTCTAGCGAAGAAACATAGTCGTCATAACTATCGTCCAAAGAAGAAAGAATTATATAAACTTGTTGTAGTTCTGAGAAAACAAGTTCCTTTTCATGCAGCTCCTGGAAAATTCTGGTCATGGATTCCAAATGAGCCATCATATCTCCACCTTTAAGAAGATGTTGTTTAAATAATCTCCGTGTGAGATAAATATGAGCACCCACAGAGTCACGAACATATAGTCTCTTCAACTTGGTCCAACACCTAGCAGCAGACTCTTTGCCACGAATATGGACAAGCTGCTGGTCACCCAGTGTCAGTCCAATAATTTTTTATTTATTTTATTTCGAATTTATATACCGCACCTTCTCCCGAGGGACTCAGGGCGGTGTACAGCCAGATAAAAACATAATAATGCAAAGAGCTCGTTCATTGTCTCTGTTAAACTTGGCTAATTTCTTCGCATCTTCCTCATCAGCAGGATCCCATGCTGTTACATCCGGTGGCTTATTAACTATGTCCCACAGTCCTTCTCTACGCAAAAGTAGATTACATTTTGTAGACCAGGATATATAGTTTGTTCCATCCAGCCGGGTTATCATGGAAAAATTTGCTGCTTGTTCTAGTGCCATCTTCACTTGGATTGTATATCACAAACACAGTTTGTACTATTCACATTAACTCTCAGTTTAGCTCTTAACAATCCTAGTTAGTTCTGGTTGGCTCTGGGCCCATAACCAATGTTAAGGATATTGTTGTTGTGTTACCAACCAGCAGAGTGTAGAACACAGAGAAACGTTGCTGAGAGCAATGAATAAGAGATGTGCAAACTGGTTTATCAAAAGTTTACTTTATAATGAAAAAACAATCTCATAGTCTTTAAATCAATCCAAGTCTTTGCCAGTTAAATCAGTCCAGTGATACAAAAACTCTTCTTACCACACAAACAGTAGTTGGTTAAAATAACAAACTCACTCTGGTTCACAAACCACGATGATAGCAGATCCATCCAACGATGATAGCACAATGATAGCAACTCCACACACTATGGTAGCATATCATCAACTGAATATGTTACAGTAGCTTTCTTAAATACATTTACAACCAGTGATTATCTAATTACAGCATGACTCAGCATTACAATGAATCAACAGTAAAACTTTAAAGTCACACAATACATATTCATATTAAAGTCACAGAACACATATATTGTCTGGACAGCTTGTTAGGCTCAAACCATATCCTAACACAATAAATGAAGTAACATTGTCATTTTACAGGAATATCAGAAAAGCTCAGGAGGATCTTCAGCCAATATAACATATGTGCACACTTCAAACCCAAGAATACACTAACACAGACATTTGTCCACCCCAAGGATAAAACACCCAGACACAAACTGAGCAATGTGGTATATGCAGTACAATGCAGTGAGCCATGTGCAGATCTGTACATTGGAAACAAAACAACCACTTCATAAGCACCCTTCGGGGTGGAGTTCCATCAGTACGTTGACGACACCCAGCTGTACATCTCCACCCCAGGCCACCCCAACGATGCCCTTGAAGTGAAGTCCCAGTGCTTGGAAGCCGTGCGGGCCTGGATGGGGAGAAACAGGCTCCGACTCAACCCTTCCAAGACTGAGTGGCTGTGGCTTCCAGCATCCCGATATAGCCAGCTGGTGCCATCGCTGGCTATTGGGGGCGAATCCCTCGCCCCCACAGAAAGGGCTCGCAACTTGGGAGTCCTCCTGGATGCACGGCTGTCTTTAGAAGACCATTTAACGGCCGTGGCCAGGGGGGCTTTTTATCAGGTTCGCCTGATACGCCAGTTGCGCCCCTTTCTAGATTGGGACTCCCTACGCACGGTCACTCAGGCACTCGTCACCTCCCGCCTGGACTACTGCAACGCTCTCTACATGGGGCTCCCCCTGGGGTGCACCCGGAGGCTCCAGCTGGTCCAGAATGCCGCCGTGCAGGGGATTATGGGAGCGACAGGGAGCTCCCATGTGACACCTCTCCTGCACGAGCTGCACTGGCTCCCAGTGGTCTTCCGGGTGCGCTTCAAGGTGTTGGTGACCACCTTTAAAGCGCTCCATGGCTTAGGGCCGGGGTATCTACAAGACCGCCTTCTGCCACCAATAGCCTCCCACCGGCCAGTACGCTCACACAGAGTGGGCCTCCTCAGGGTGCCATCCACCAGACAGTGTCGGCTGGCGACCCCCAGGGGGAGAGCCTTCTCTGTGGTGGCGCCCGCCCTCTGGAACAACCTCCCCCCAGAGATACGTATAATATCAGACCTCCAGATTTTCTTTTGGGCCCTGAAAACTTATTTATTTCAACTAGCCGGGCTGGCTTGATCCCACAGTTTTGAGTTAAATTTTAACTGATTTTAAATTGGGTTTGTTTTAAATTGCGGCCAAAAATATTTAATTATTTTAAACTGTTTTTAAATTTTGTACGTTTTGTTTTTATTTTCGCTGTTCACCGGCCTGAGTCCTATTGGAGAAGGGCGGTATACAAATTGAAACAAATAAATAAATAAATAAATAAACACATGGTACAACATAGGAGAACAAAACCATCAGGATAAGATTCAACAGTCCACCTGCATTTAAAAGATAAAGGCCACTCTTTTGAAGACAGCAAAGTCCACATTTTGGACAGAGAGGACTGCTGGTCTGCCATCTATGTCAGAACTGAACAGCCCTCTCTCAATAGAGGGGGAGGGATATGACATCATCTATCTGTTGTGATCCGCCAGCAGCCTGCAGAGCTGGCAGCAATCGGGCAGTGAGGAGGCTGGGGAGGAACATGGGCCAGTCCTGGAGGCTGGGGAAGGCTTGGACGAGGGCTCTGTGTCCGAGGCAGAGAAAGGACCATCTGTGAGGTACATACTGCCTCCGGAGCCTCCAGGGTTGGACCTCAGCGAGGCAGAGGAAAAGGGGAAGCCTGTTCCCAGTGCGCACATGTGCAGAGCTGCCAGAAGGCAAGAACAGTTAAAACAAAAGGGACGACTTGGGAGTAGGGCTTGGAGATGATTGGCCCCTCCCATAACACTTAAAAGAGGAGCAAAGGCACGTGGGCTTTTGCAGGAAGCAACATTGTTAATTCTGTTCAGTTTAAAGTCTGAAGCTCTATTTGATTCTGGACTCCATGTGGCTTTGCCAATTAGGTCTTTGGCAGCATGTCAAGGGAGATAAATGTGGGTGATTATCAGCCTTATCCCAAAGGACTCTTTACAACTATTTGGGACTCATCTGTGAATGAACAGAATTCACATCTGTTTCAATAAAAGAGTTTTTGGGACTACTTGTGTGTTTTACTTTCTCAGGAAGTCTAGATCAGAACACTATCTCCAGTCTACAACACAGTCCTTTCAACAGTTCCAAAAAGGCTCCAACCTATTTGCACCATTCAGGTGACCTTGATGACACAGATAAAACTCCAGGTAGCCTTAACAACTCGCTAAAAGAATGCAAATGACCAGCTGTCTGCAAGGAGTATAAATCCTTCCATTCCCCATCATCCAGTCAGAGCTGAAGAAGTTTTTTGAATGAGAAGTGAATTTTTTTTTTAAAAAAATAAGAAAGTACAGCTGCCTTTTGAAAAAAAGCATCTTTGGGACATTTGTTTGGTTTATTGTTTCTGGGAAATTAGCCAGTATGTTTTGTAAACTAGAGTTTAAAGCTTAATAATTAACACTTGGCTATATTTGGCCACATTTCTTATATGTAAGCAATTATCATGCTTGTTATATATATATTAGATTCATGTTTGAAGTATAATTTCCTGAAATAGTTTGGAGAGGTTTTGATAATAGGAATTGTCATAATCTGAAAATGGAATTCTGTATGAAAACATTTGAATGAACAGCTTTGTAGCAAGAAATACACACAACAAGTGCAAAACTGTGTTGTTTTTATTCTGGAACATGCAAATACAATCCATGCATCTGCCACTTTGAAAAAAACTTTTCCTTTCATAGCAGATAAACCCAAAGATATTTTGGCTATCAACTTCCAATAAATGTTTCAAAATGCTTTACAGTGTAAAGATAATAAGAAATTTAGCAAAATTTCAACAAACCAGTATAAAAAACAGATACAGATAACTTTTAAAGATGACATGCTGTAATGTAAAGAGTAATAATTTTGTTTGTTTTTTTCCATAAAAAGTCTTCAACAATACAGTAGTTTAATCTTTACTTGTAAGCCTTTAGGCTACACATGCAAAAATGAAAGAGGGGAGGGGAATTTAAGTAAAAATCACAAAAACGTGCTATTTTCATTTTAAGTACAATAGTTGTAAATAGTATATCTGAACTCTGTCAAGTATGTAGGAAAGTTCATGGAGCTAGTGTCTTGGAAGACTCATATTCTGACATACATTTTGGTTTAATTGCTTTCCCATTATAATAGTCAACCACTTGATTTGGAACTTCAGCCAAAACACTTTTTGCTAATGCAGCTGGGGATGCCTGCAAGAAATGGCAGAAAATAATGTATGTTACTTCAGGTCTAATTGTTCCAACATTTCTTTATAACTGACAATGCTGAGTTCATAACTCTTATGAACTTATGTTTATATCTCAGCTTTTTTTTTTTTATAAGTTCAAAATGGTCCATAGGTAGAAAGGAAGATATTATTTTATCCATACAGCAATCCTGTGAGGTGGGATGAATTAATTGACTTCCCAGTTCAAGGCCAGTCTCTTAGTCACTATTACTTAGTCACTTAGCTGATGAAAGATGTTTTACTTCAATCTAGTCATCACTTCTAAAAAAACCCTCTTATATTAAATTTATACTATACTAAAAAAACTATAGAATACTTATAACATAGCATTTACCCAGAAAGAAAATGAATCTGCTCTCTCCCTCCAAATAATTAGATTGGGATACCATGAGAAATATTAATAGAGGAAGATGTCATTGCAAGTGAGTAAATGCAAATTTGAGTGAAAATAATGAAGTGATTGAAATAGAGGCATCATCTGGAGAAGGGCAAACATAATAGTTTCATCTCCTATTACCACCCTCTGCCCATCTTCACAATTTGTTGAAGGTGAGGATCTGCTTATGCCCATGAAGTGTCACCATGCAAACAAGGTATAAAGAAAAATCAGGATCCTCAGTCAGGGACAGTCTCCATATCAGATATTTCCATTATACATAGCAGATTACAAAGAGGAGAATAAGGCTGCCTTATTGACTGAATCCATCCTTAGAATGATATATACAGTCCACCATTCCTTAAACTCTTAGAATACATAGATATTGATATTACATTATGTCATGCCCCCAGGTATAAGGTTTTACATGACATCTACCTCTCCACCCCTTGGAGGAGAAATAAATTTCTCTATTTTTATACAGCATACATTTTGTGTGGTAATATACATTACGTGCAGTGGTGGGATTCAGCCGGTTCTCACCAGTTCAGTTGAACTGGTAGCTAACTGTTCAGTTCGGCGAACCAGCTGAATCTTTGACCCTTCTCTCCCAGCTACTCCTCCCCTTGCCTGCCTCTCCTTGCTGCACTGCTCGACTCATACTTTGGCTGAGAGTAAGGGACTATTGACAGTTTGCTTCCCCTTCCCTCCTTATGCTGCACCAAAGAGAGTTGCCTTCTCACTTTTCCATCTGGTCAGACTGAAGGCCATTTTGGTATCTCGGCACTCCTCTAACTGCCCCCCTGGCCCCTCCAAGCAAGCAAGTCTGTGCAGGAAAAATCCCAAGGCAGCTCTAAGGTGCCCAAGGGGAGGAAGCATGGGGAGAAAGCATCTTGGCAACTGGACTCAGGGGAGCTCAGGGCCTCATCGTGAAAAGTCCCATGCTCCTGGGAAGATGGGGAAGAAGCTCTGTTTTCTGGCTTCCCACATTCACAACAGCAGGAGTAGCTGGGGTGGAAGCATGTAGAAAGAGTACCTTGCAACTGAACTGTTTCTCTCTGACTTTTTCCTGTTTTGTCTGCTGGATCAATGCAGATGGACATCAACCCTAGTTTTGCTGTCCATTGAAGCTAGGAATCTCAAATAAGGCCAATAATGTAAGGATCAGACCCCTGCAAAGCCCTCATCTGCCAATGATCCCGGCCGAGGCTTCGCTCACCCCCTGCTGAGGCACCTGGACTCCCATTGATGGGATAGGGTATTTTAGGCACTTAGCTTGGCTTAGTAGCTCCAGCCCCTCCCTCTGTCACCAGGAGTGAAGGCGCCTCAGTGGGCAGTGAGGGAGGCCTTGGCTGGGCTCCTTGGCAGACGTGGACTTTGCAGGGGCTGATCTAGTGCCCGAGGTGGCTACAACACAAACTTACATTCTCGGCCTTATTTGAGATTCCTAGCTGCAATGGACAGCAAACCTAGGTTTGACGTCCACCTGTGTCAATCCAGTAGGGAAAAGAACAGGAAAGGGGGTTCGAGAGAAACAGTCCAGTTGCCAAGGTACTATCTCCACACGCTTGCTCCCCAGCTGCTGCTGTGAGAGTGGGAGGCCAACAAACTGTAGAGCTTCTTCCCCATCTTCCCAGGAGCATGGGGTTTTTTATGATGAGGCCTGAGCTCCCCTGCATTTCGTTCTGCTGCTGGAGGACAGGCTGCAGCAGCCCCACCTTGGCCCGCACCAGCTCCTTGTAGCTGCCCATGCTGGGATTGCTGCAGAGCCTCCCCTTTCGGGTTCTTTTTATGCGGGGCAGAGGGGGGCAGAAATTCTGACTCGGGTGCTTTGGGTGAAGGCTGGATGAAAGCGCTGCTGGTGGCAAAGAGCCAGAGGGCCTCATTCCAGTCAGACTGCATTATGGCCTGGAACTGGCTGACCATCTTGGCCTGCTGAGCCTCCAGGCACCAGCGCCTGGCCTTGCACCCACAGGTCTTCCCTCTGCTTGGAATGCCTATGCTTGTATTCCTCAGTGAGGTGCTTCTGCTGAGTCTCCTTCTTGGCCAGATCCAATTTGAACTGAGCCAGCTGTTTTGCCAACTCTTTCTCGTGGTGGCTACTTAGCTCCAACAATTGCTCTCCTGTTGGGGCCCTAAGGAGCCCACGCGGCGAGGAGTGGCTGGGAGGGGAGGAGCGAGGAGAGGCTAGGTGAGATGCCCCTTGACTTGAGTGATATCAATTTGGCCACGCCCACCCAGCTGGTCATTAGGGCAGAGAACCGGTTATTAAATTATTTGAATCCCACCACTGATTACATGACTTCTACCCACCCACTCCTATATCCAAAATGTCACACTTGATGACATGGTATAAAGTAACATCTTTGAGAGCTTAAGGAAATGTTGACTGTAAATATTATTCTATGGTTAGATTATCTGTTTACCTTCCTGTAACTCTAATGAGTACCGGGACCCAAATAGCTCCTACAGTTAATGCAATATACATCAGTAGTCATCTAAAGTGTTGTGGTCCAATTCTAAAAGAGGACTGAATTTTGTAGAAAAATCTGGTTATCTATGTTGAAAAATCTAAATATAGAATGAAACTAGTCACAAATTGCTCCTGGTGGTCAATAGATGTTGATTGATGGTTTGAAGACTTAAGCATATTTGTTCCAACAAGTGGTTAAGGTCCCATGCTCGAAACCAAGAGACTATGAGTTCTGGTCTTGCCTTAGGTATGGAAGCCATCTGGATGACTTTGACTCAGTTGCTCTCTCTCAGCCCAATTCACCACACAAGGTTGTTGTTGTGGAGAAAATAGGAGAAGGAAAGAATATTAGATATTAGATTAAATTAACAGAGTTGGAAGGGACTTTGTAGGTCATCTAGTCCAACCCTCCCTGCCCAAGCAGGAGACCCTACACAATTTCTGACAAATGGCAGTCCAATCTCTTCTTGAAAGCCTCCAGTGATGAAGCTCTCACAACTTCTGAAGGCAAGCTGTTCCATTGGTTGATTGTTCTCACTGTCAGAAAATTTCTCCTTATTTCTAGGTTGAATCTCTCCTTGATCAGTTTCCATCCATTATTCCTTGTCTGGCCTACAGGTGCCTTGGAAAATAGCTTGACCTCTTCTTCTCTGTGGCAGCCCCTCAAATATTGGAATATCATATCTCCCCTGGTCCTTCTTTTCACTAGACTAGCCATGCCCAGTTCCTGTAACCATTCTTCATATGTTTTAGACTCCAATCCCTTAATCATCTTGGTTGCTCTTCTCTGCGCTTTTTCTACAGTCTCAACATCTTTTTTATAGTGGGGTGATCAAAACTGAATGCAGTATTCTAGGTGTGGTCTTACTAAGGCTTTTTAGAGTGGTATTAGTACCTCACTTGATTTTGATTGTATCCCTCTGTTAATGCAGTTTAGGATTGCATTGGTTTTAATCCCCTTCCATTGGACCAAGTAGAGTGGGCTAATCCCATTGGGGCAAGATGATAAAATAGGCAATTTGCATTAATTTTTATGAGTAACAAGCAAATTGACAAGATCAAGACAATATCAACTGGTATCAGGATGGTATTATTTTTATAGTAGATTTAATAATATCAAAATAGATTGCATTTTTAAAAGTCTGAATGATGATTTTTATTTTGTGTTTATGTTATATTGTTATTTTAATTAGCACATGTTTCATCTTGTTGTGACAATAGTAGTGTCCTCCAGTGCCAGGTTATAATTCTGTAATACCCAGATCAAAACTTCGAGCGTTACATCTCCCTCTTCCCCATATTAGTCATCATTCTATAATATTTTCACTGTTTTATGCTTCTACAGTATATTCTAATATTGTGACTTTTTGAGAAAATTATAAGTGTATTTTATGAAACAAGTATCATTATGTAAATACACATAATCTATATTTAACTGATTTGTCAGTTTTGCTGGTGAGCTATGGTATATATTCAAAGATATAAGCATTTACCATACACTTCAGTAAAATCATCCTTGAATTTCTATCTGAATTATGGGTGAATATTATTGTGATAGGTATAATATGTACCGGCGGAATCCCTGTACTTAGAAATAATGCCTTATTTTAAAAATATGGTTGAAACAAATCTTACATGTTTGAAGTTTCTGAATGGCACAAATTGAACAATATCTCGTAGAACTGGTTCTCCCTTGGGAGACCGCAGGATGCCATCATCCCCGTCAAGCATCTGCATGTCACTGAAATCAGCATTTCCGACTCCAACAATGATGACTGACATGGGGAGGTGAGAGGCATGGACGATGGCTTCACGTGTGTCAGCCATGTCTGTGATGACCCCATCCGTCAGAATCAACAAAATGAAATATTGCTAAAGGGTAGAAAGGGAACATAAGCATTTGAATGTATTTCTGACAATTGTTGCTAAAAACAGTGCTGCTGAGATTCCCTGGCAATTCATACTGTAATTAGCTTTATGGCACTTTTCATTGATGATGACTGGAGGTGGAAAGTTAAATAAATATAATCAGATCAAAGAAAATATAATAAATTTATTCTACAGGAAGTATGAAGGCAACAGTAAGATATGCTTACTTGGGAAGAGTTATTCATGTAGACAGGGCTCATATAATATTGTAGGCCGCTTTGTGATTTAGCTGGTTTTGGCTCATGTTGTTTGAATCAGCAGCTAACGGTATTTGCTAAATCATGGTATATCATATGCATGTTGTATGAACCTACCAAAACTAAATAATAGGTATTTTTCTCAGCCAGTAAATATCAGGAAAGTGTCTGATAAAAAGTAGAAATAATCCAAAGAAAGAATCAAAAGATTTCTGAAAATAATTAGTTTAATGGCATCAGTATCTAATTTGGAAGCAACTATAAGACTTTGATAGTACTAAGACACTCCTTTCTCAACCTATGTATGAACTGCTGGCTGCCCAGTCCTCTTGCTAAAAAACCCACCTCTATATATATATAGATATATATATATATAGATATATATATATATAAAGGTAACAGAAATTATGAGCCATATAAAGAGTGACAATAATTATCTTTAATTACTACATTAAAAGAAATGTCACAAATTTTCTCACAACTTAACTTACAATTAAAATATATGGAATTACTGCACAATATTTGTAGCAGAACTGGCACCAACTACTGTGTGCATAAATTAGCAGCAATATAGAATAGTATAATAAGACATTCTGTTTTTGAATTACTCACACAATAATATCATGAGTACCTCTTTTATGTGACACAGAAAGCTAGGACATAGTTAGGGCTGACATAAGATGCACATCAACATTATGCATTCAATTGTAGCTAAACATAGCTAACCTAACTACAATTTGTATTCATGAATGGGTAAGCAGATATTTTATAATTAGTATCAAATCTAGCTAACAATTCCTTAAAATAGCAATAGCACATAGACTTATATACAGCTTCACAGTGCTTTACAGCTCTCTCTAAGTGGTTTACAGAATCAGCCTATTGCCCCCAGCAATCTGGGTCCTCATTTTGCCAATTTCGGAAAGATGGATTGAGAATTGAACTGCCAAAATCTGCAGTCACCACAATTAGCCTCAATACTGCATTCTAACCAGTGCGCCACCATGGCTCTTAAAAACTTAACTTAGTTTTTTAAAATACATTTTTGGAAATAGATACTCTTATGACCATTTCCACAATGAAAACCATCATGAATAAAAAACATAGAATGGGTCAAATTGAAAGAGTAAGGGAAATTATCTGCTTTTATGTTTGTACTGCCCAGATGCTGAAGCATCAAAAATGGATTAAAGCATGTCAATGGATATCTAAACTGTTATTTTCTGCTCTCAGAAGGAATGGTTTCATAAAGTAGTTTGTTATTTTCCATGATCCTTACCGATGCCTCCTTGGTGTTTGTTTCTTCTGATGCTGATTTAGCCACCTTTTGGATGATGGGAGCAATGTTGGTTGGTCCATAAAGCTGAAGCTTTGGGAGGCAATTCTGATATGCTTCCACAACCCCTTGAATCCCTTGTAAAATGACAAGATGAAGAAAAAATTGTGATGAAGGCAGTAGTGGGTTCCTTTGCTACCGGTTCGGAATCAGGAGTGCGCACATGTGCGTGCCCGCTTTGCTCATGTGTGGAGCTTCTGCGCATGCGCAGAACCTTCTGCACATATGCAGAGTGTCCGTGATGATGTCCGGGCAGGTGGGTGGAACCTTCCACCATCGCCACTACTAGTTCGCACGAACTGGGGCAAACCAGTAGAAACCCTGGTTTCTTTGGATGAAGCCAAAGACTGAGCAAATTTCTTGGGAAGGAGGACATGACTCCAAGTTTTCTTCCAAGTGAAATTGTTTTAAACAATTCATGTAATCTTATTCATGAAAGTGATCAGCTAGACAGCCTATTTAATCTTCCCAGCCATGATTCTGAAATAGTTGAAAGAAAGCGAATCTACCCGCTGACCTGACCTCATTTATATGACATGTAGTACATAATTCATGAACTAGCTCTCTTCCTTGCTATCAGCATTCAACTGTGCATTTTATAGATATTAACCAGCCCAAATATTAGAACTCTTTGCAAATATGATTGTTTTATATGCCATAGAAGCCTTTGCTAATAATGCGAGCATCAGAAAAATGTTCTATTTTAATTTTAATGTAATTTTAAAAGTTTATAGAGATTAATTATTAGATGGAAATTACCTGGTACATTTTGTTTTCTCTCACTGTCCTTAGTACTTTTGGACTAAGCCATTATATGGCCTTTCTAAAGACCTGCATTTTATCAAGAAATTTAAAAACAAAATCTTGGAATAAGAACTAGATCTTGAATAAGAAAGACTTGTCATGGATCATTGTTGTTGTTGCTGCTGCTGCGATTGACATCATTATTCTTCTCAAAGAGAACTATATATAAAAATCATCTTTTTTTAGAAAAGCAATCTAGTAAAGCAATCAATTATAAACAAACTCCTGAATAATTAAAATGTGGGTTTACAACAAATTAAAACAAGAGTTTAGTAACAAACTTGTTCTAAGATCACCTATTAATCTACAAATTATTGAATTTCTATTCTCATTTAATAGTTATAGGTAATCTTTTCTGGATTCTCTGAATGATTCACATTTAAGAATATGAAAGTAATATCTATACAGGAATTTGTCTTAATACTGAGTCCAATTATTGAAGGTCCAATCACTTTCAGTTCTGCAGGGAGATATCATTCCCAGCTATACCTGAAGTGCTGGACATTGATCCTGGGAAGTTCTGTGTGAAGTGCATTTAACACTTCTCATATCACCCTTCCACTGAGTATGAGCTCTAAGAAGCAAGCAAAGGACACTAAATATGAAATCAGTACTGTACAGATAGATAGACTGAAATAAACAGCTTGGGTTCAACAATGGATAAAAAGTAAACAGCAGAGCTACATTATGTTGTTTGCTGAGAAAAAAAGCTGGTTACCTGCACATTCTGGATTATCTTCATTAAAGTTGATTGCAAAATCATGAGATACCTGTGGATAAAGCCAATCCCCCCCACCCAAGAATTAGATTTATGTTTGCTCTAAAAATAATTCTTGTTTCCCATTGGCAAGTGGAGAATTCAAATTAATTTTCTTCTAGAGATGCAATACCAAATGCTTTCCAAATAATTATTTATTGTGTTGCAGATTTTGTGTGGTGCATTAAGGAAGAGTATTTACACAATTCAAGTCAAGAGTATTTTTTAAAGTAGAAGAAACAAGAGTGGGAAAATATTGTGAATTCATATCCAAATATGAACTTACCTAATTTTGCATTTTCCAACCATTATATGACTCAAAATTTAATTACATTCAAATTTGCAGTTCTTGAAATTCTGTACTACAGTTTCTAATAATAATAGTAATATTAAAGCCTGTAAATTACATATAAAATAATTATGCATATATTGCAAAAAAACATGAAAATAATGCACAAGCATTTTATTGGGGAAACTACTTGAAAAATGTTTATAATACCAAAAAAAGTATTTTGCTGCAAACTTGAATTAATGTTTATAAAACTATCCTGAAAATTGCTATAAATCTTACACCCAAATTTTCAGTAACTGCAAACAAACTCCAAAACTAATTTCTTTAGATTGAATTGACCCATCCATTAATTTCAATCTAGGAGAAGCTGCTACTGATTTAGTGAAGTGAAGGAGAATCATGTCCCAGATCTGTACTTCAATGACGTTTCCTATTTCATGTAAAAGTGTCCTTTCTGAAATCAGGCTGTTATATAATTTGGAAAATTGGATGAAACAGAATTTTTCTGAAGAGAAAAATTCCTTGCTGTTTTAAGTGATTTTAAACTTTTCTTTACATATGATGTTCGTTTTTTATTATACTAATAACAGGAAATAGTTGATGATTATGTAGCAATGAATGAATGAATGAATGAATATATCTCTTCCCTGTTTTTTTAATTTAGACTAGGTCAAAACATAAGCTACATTACCTTAGTCCAATAAATAATATTTATACCCCAGAAAGTAGAATGCTCTTCTAAACACTTAATAAAGAAATGCACCTTTCTTATTTAATATTACATAGGTCAATGTGCATGTCCCCCAGGGTGTGTGTGTGTACAATGTCATCACAGGGGGTTCACAAAAGCTTGACGAATTTAAATCTTGAGTTAAGTCTTGAGGTCCATGGCCATGGTCCGTGACCACAAAAGATATTAAAAGTGGTCCATAGTAAAGAAAAGGCTGAAAACCACTGATATAGGTAATTTAAATACTTTAATACAGAAGTATATAATGTGATGGATTAGTTTATATTATCATATAGCTAAGACATGCTCTCTGATGTTGATGAAGGGAGTCATGAAGCCTTTAAGACAACAACAGGTAGAAAAGCACATGTTAATCCCAGAAATGGGAGGAATTAGAAAAAGATTCAGATTGATTTTCTTATATTGCCTGAAGAATAAAAGAGAAGGAAGGGAAGATATGGAAAGTTCTATTACTATACTTATCTCAATAAAATACAGTTGTAGTCTTCCTGTGGTGCCATTTTTCTGGTCTGGCCTATTTTGTAAGGTTAACCGTCTATGAAATCTCTAATCTGTCTTTATTTCATTCACAAGATTCTTCTCAATTAAAAATTAATGAAAGAGGACATATAGCAAAGCAACATCTTTCTGCAGTCTGACTTCTGGGCTGACATAATAAAATAAAAATGATTGGAATTCACTAATTTATTTGGAAGTATGTGAGATATCATACAGAACTTTGGTAGTCCTGAATGGGTGGCTGGAACTACACATATATTATCCTCCTCCCAAATGTATTCAGTTATCCACAGTTATATTTTTTTCATTGAAGCCATTTATATCCACTTATATTTATATATTTTTAAATATATATTTATATTTTCTGTATGGGGTCCTGTTAATTTTGCTCAATATGGCGTCCATCTTCCTTTTCATCTCTACTACTTGGTACTCATTCCTTAGTCACAAAACATACTCATCTTTGTTAAGAGACCTTAACAAAAAAAAATTCTTCTCAAAAGTTATTTTAATTTTAGCCCTCTAAAGCTTTGATAACCATCCAAAATATCAACTGTACTATATGCTAAAAATAAACCTGGTCACAATAGGAGGAGAAATTGGGAGCAATGAGAAACTTTCTCATGCGGAAAACCTTAAAGGTCTTAAAATTATCTTCATTGGTTTGAAATTCACTGGTTTGAAATTATGCATAACATGATGCTATTTGAGCGGAGACCCCCAAGATTTTTAAAATCATGCAAATGAATCTAAAATTGCTTCTGCCTCGCCTCTTTATTCCCTCCTACCATTCACACCATTGCTTCTCTCTTCAGTAATTTATACATTATGCTAGAGACATCAAGAAAATGAGGAAGCTTCACTTGTTCACCTACTTTATAGTCGGGAGGTATCCTGGCTCCAAAGCCATACACTGGGAACATTTTATCACTGAAATTAAGATAGACAAGGATTGTTGATCTTTGTTATACTGATCTCATTTCATTTTTCCTCCTCCACCAAATTCATAAATAAATTACAAGGCAGAAAAAAGTTATGAAAGAGTAGGACCCACTACATACCAATTATATAGGTTTCACCTACCTCAGTTTGCAAATATAATTTTTTCTATATGAGATAGCTAGGTTCTTGCCTCTCCTTTGATAATTAGTAAGCCATTATGGAAGTTAAGGTCTATTCTGTTTTTTAAAAAATCAAATAGGCAAAAATCTTTGGCCTGTTAGCTTGCATCTGATGATATGATTATGTTGAATTAATTTGCAATTTATTTGAAAAAATATTTCACTGCCAAGTGTGTGTTAAATTGCAACCATTATATTTTTAATAAAATAAGTATAAGCAGTTATACAACTGCTTCTCTTCATCATTTAACAGCATCAAAAGATTTTGTATTTTTAGCAGCATTTATAGCAATATAAATATATATAACAAAGTACATGCTATTCTATTATATATTGACAGTAAGTCTTGGGAATCTGTGCTAGCTTGTAATTAGCTCTTATATCTATAATAATATCCATACCTCAATCCATATCCATATCCATATCCATATCCATATTAAAATAGAATAGAATAGAATAGAATAGAATAGAATAGAATAGAATAGAATAGAATAGAATAGAATAGAATAGAATAACAGAGTTGGAAGAGACCTTGGAGGTCTTCTAGTCCAACCCCCTGCCTAGGCAGGAAACCCTATACCAAATGGTTATCCAACATCTTCTTAAACATTTCCAGTGTTGGGGCATTCACAACTTCTGCAGGCAAGTTGTTCCACTTATTAATTGTTCTAACTGTCAGGAAATTTCTCCTTAGTTCTATAAATTGCTTCTCTCCTTGATTAGTTTCCACCCATTGCTTCTTGTTCTACCCTCAGGTGCTCTGAAGAATAGTTTGACTCTTTCTTCTTTGTGGCAACCCCTGAGATATTGGAACACTGCTATCATGTCTCCCCTAGTCCTTTTCTTCATCAAACTATACATACCCAGTTCCTGCAACCATTCTTCATATGTTTTAGCCTCCAGTCCCCTAATCATCTTTGTTGCTCTTCTCTGCACTCTTTCTAGAGTCTCAACATCTTTTTTACATCATGGCAATCAAAACTGAATGCAGTATTCCAAGTGTGGCCTTACCAAGGCATTATAAAGTGGTATTAACACTTCACGTGATCTTGATTCTATTCCTCTGTTTATGCAGCCCAGAACTATATTGGCTTTTTGGCAGCTGCTGTACACTGCTGGTCATATTTAAATGGTTGTCCACTAGGACTCCATTTACCTCTATCTGTATCAAAAAGTGAACTGGCAATTGATTTTATGCTAATTATCCTACTGTTGCAACCTCTTGAATAAATGCTGATTTTTTAAAGTTGTCAGTACTATAAGAAGCTCTTAACATCTGGCTTTTCCCCCAGGAATTGGATGGGGAGGGGGGAGGGGGTATTGTGCTCATCTTGATTATTTTGGTTGTCTTATATGCAATAATGTTTTAGGATTTTTGTTTGTTTCTTGGGTTTTTTATTTTTTTGAAGCTATTGTCATATTAGTTTTTATCTTGCATGCTGCTCTGAATTGCATGTGATTAGGCAGCTATATAAATTGATTGATAGATTAAATAAACATATGTCAAGTATAGAGATTGATTGCTTAATTTTGCATAATTTGTATGTCTCTAGAAGCCCTACAAACCTAAGGTAAGATGACATAATTGCTGCATGATAACATTATTTTAAAATAAATATTACTCTTTTTTAAAAAAAGAAATTAAACTATATGGGCATACTTTAAACACTGCTCTGTTAATTTTTTCCTTAAAAAATAAAACAAATTGCTGCTTAATGCCTTTGGGAAGCTGAACTTGCTGACTAGCAGGAAATGTGTGCTTATAATTGAGCATTAAGTATGTGAAAATAGAAAACACTAATATGCTACCTACAAAAGGGGTAATTAATGAACATGAGAAATATACTTGCCATAACAGAAACTTCTAAAAGGTATTTCCTAATGAATTAACCAACAAATTAATTATAACAAATATTATACCCATAAACTTATCTGATTAACAGTAAGAGCAGCACTGCTGACAAAGGAATGCCAACCTCCCTTAATTATTAAATGAGTCTCAAATGTGCAAGCTAATCAAAAAATACGTTATCAACACATTTTTACTCATGAATATAAAGCAAGGAATAAATACAGGATTGAAAATAAGAAACAGTGTAGCCACAGTCCCATAAAATGGTAAACCAGGATTCAATATCTGCATTATGAACACAGACAACCTGAGTATCCTTAGCTATATTGATTGCCCATGTTTTGTGATAGATTAAAATAAATACTTTACATGTCAGCATTTAAAATGTTTATGAATATCCAGAAACTTCACAGCAGATAAGGAAATTGGTAAACATTTGTTAGAAGGCCAATAGTCTATTAATACAAGTTGGTTGTTTGCATTTTGGTCCTACTGATCTACAGGGTAATAAATATCAAACCCAAACAATCATCATGTGCAAAAATCCATCTAAAACCAAGTAAGGCTTTCACTTTACTAGAGAGTATTCAGTCTCCAAAAGTAGAAGCTGAAACTGAATATCCAATGTGTATAATAGCAGTTATGGCTCCTTTAAGATATCACAGGTGTTGCTTCTTTAAGGCTGCCACTTGCTCCAAAGTTCCTGTTGACAAATGAATCTGCAGTGCTGCATAGCCTTAATAAATATTAGTTAAAATCCCAGTTCTGTTATATTATGGGAGAGGACCATAGACTGGTCTAAAGCAGGAATTCAACACAGGTATAATAAATGGTAAAACTATGCAGCCTTTCAGATTCAAGGACAAAAAGGTGCTTTGCAACATTCTTGGTATAAATATGTCTCCTGTCTGTAATCCTTTCAGGAAGCCGTACTTTTCCTCAGGCTGGAAAATATACATGCTGATGCATACCTACACAATTATTTTATCATAATTTGGGGCATTTGAAAAGAAGGAACAAGTGCAGTTTTAAAAATTAACAGACCAATTTCAACATGTTTCCAAGTGGAAACTCATCCACTTACATCAGTCACATCATTTGTCTTTGTGACTCATATGATATTATTTGTTCCCCTTACTCTTCCTTTCCTTGGTACCCAAGTGGATGAATTTCCAATTGGATGCCAAGGAAAGGAAGAGAAGTCATGTCATATGAGTCACAAAGACATTGTGCAAATGTTGTGACTGATGTAATTTGCATTAGCTATAGACTTCATGATAAGCACAATGTCATTATAGTTTATTCATTTTACTGAATGTTTTTCTCAACTCTTTTTTAGCTCAGATCACCTAGATTTTAGATCATACATTAAAGATAATATGTTTTTTAAGTAGCTAGCTCTTGAAAATTAGTAATGTGCTCAGTCATAGTAATCATTTTGGAAGCAAATATAGACAAATTAGAGACTAACAATAGTTTCATACCTCATACAGATGACCTATGAGTCATGGATTCGTTATCCTTGCCATAAATTATGTAATTTGGAATGAAAGGCAAGATATATATAGTAGCTAGGATTAGGTCAAATTATAAATTAAAATTTAAAGCACAACTTGCAAAAAAAGGGAAACATAACAATTCCCAGGAATGTACCCGTATATTGTCACGAGAAAACAGAAAATTCCAGGTACCCTTCTGTGCTCATCTTGACTCATTCTAATAACTTTAAACTTTGCTTAAAGTTTGGAGAACTTGTCTATTGATTAAATATGCAGTTCCTACAACTATATTAGGATGTTGTATCATTTTGTGGACAAAGGGTTGAATGATGGCCCTTGATTATAGTCAATTCTTGTCAAAGTCTTTGGCTGCCACATACGTAATTGTTCCCACTCTGGAGATTTTATTCTAATTTTCAGAAGTTTTATTTATGCAACTCCAGCAGTATTTAATTCAAGTCCTTCACATCTTTAAAAGGTAGCATCATTATGATGCAAATAGCAATGCCTTGCTAATTACACGGAAGACACTAGAAAATACCTCAAGAATAAATCAGAAGCAGTAATAGTTGTCAGCATTGTCAGTGTGGTATTTCTATCTGGTATACACATTCATGACACTTCATATGATGTACATTATAATATATTTCAAGTGAACAGAAGAAATGTTACTATTTTACAGAGAAGATATTTAAACACGGATTTATCCAATAAATAACATGCAATTTTACTTTATCACTATATGGCACTTGCAAATCAAGTGTTTAATAAAAAATCTTGGAACAGCCAATATTAAAGACTTAGAAATGTTTTAATCCTTAGTTTGAATTACTTATCAATAATTATTTGAGTCATAATTCAAAATAAGGTTCAAATGAGTATTATGCCAGATCAGACATATGTATGTACATTTTATATATTATTGTTGCTGTAGCAATGAAAGCTGTGGGAGCTATTTGAAAATATGCATATCTAAGTTTAAGGAAATAATTGACGTTTAGAGTCCAAATTTCTAAACAACATTTATGAAATTCTAGGGATTTCTAATCAAGATCTCAATAAGTAGTATTTATCAAAACTCTGTGTGTACTTTAGTGCAATTATACTATAATGTTTGTTGTTTTTTTTAGTGCAATAGAATTAGTATTGCTCTACAATTATCAATAGCTAACTATCAGCTTTATCAGCATTACTTGACAGATATTTATTCTGAAAGAACATGATAATTTTTCACCTGTCATAGTCTTGGCAGATTTCTCCAACAGCCACTAGTGCCTTCAAGTATTCATTTGGTTGATATGGATGAATATAGTGGAGAGAACAGCTGTTCCGAGGATCACCATTTGAGGCTGTAAAATCTATAGCCACCTAGAAAAAAACCCCAAAAAAGTCATATACATTTTATTATACTTGTATCTATACAGGTAGTCCTCGATTTACAACAGTTCATTTAGTGACAGCTTGATGTTATAATGGCATTGGAAAAGTGACTTATGACAATTTTTCACACTTATGATTGTTGTAGCATCCCCATAGACATATGATAAATTTCAGGAACTTGGCAACTGATATTTATGATAGTTGCAGTGTCCTGGAGTCATGTGATCACCTTTTGTGACCTTTTGACAAGCAAAGTCAAAGGAAGTCAGATTCACTTAACAACTGTATTACTAACATAACAACTGCACTGATTCACTTAACAGCTATGGGAAGAAAGCATGTAAAGTGCGGAAAAATAACTTAGCAAGTGTCTTGCTTAACAACAGGAATGTCAGGGTTCCAAGTAATACCCCTAACGAAAGAAGACTCCGAGGCTAGAAGTTCCTCAAAGTTCCATTTTATTAGAGATGTTATATTGGCACATCTGGGAAAACCTGAATCTGAAAGCTTCCAGGTTTTTCCCACCCAAAAGAAAGTCCAAGTCCTTGCCCCAACACCCACATGTCCATCACATGGTCCAATCAATGCACTGTCCCAAATGGAGATGCATTCTAATCACACCACTCCAAGTGCAGGCAGAATATCCTTGACTCCCAGAGAAAAGAATGTCATTATGGTTAGATATCTCTGCAACTCCATGCAATCCCCCCTCCTAGTTTCCCACAGCACTAAGTGTGGCAGCTCTGAAGATCCAAAGAAAAAGATGGCCTTCAGGGCTGACAGGCTGCTCCCCCGCAACCAATGATCGTGTTCTGCAATGAGAGGAAAATAGAGGGTTAATTCAATATTCCCTAACCACCTCTCCCCCACACACGGGGAGGGGGGGCGCTTTGGCTTATCAGGGAATTTGTCATAGAATTGCTTCACTAATCTCTCTGCCTTTACATCCCAGCATTTAACCCAAGTAGCTTCAGACAAAGAGTACCATTTCCAATGAATTAGATACTTTAATTGACTTCTATACAATCTAGAATTCAGGATTTTCTTAACCTCATAATGGGTTTCCACTTGCACCACTATAGGCTTGGGCGCCGGTCGGGTCTGTGGTCTCAACCTTGACCTGACTGCCGGCTTTAGCAAACTGCAGTGAAAGACAGGATGCACTTTCCCTAGTATGCGTGGGAGGTTAAGCTGAACTGTCACTGGGTTAATTACTTTCACTATTGGGAAAGGTCCTAAAAACTTAGGTCCCAGCTTTTTACTAGCAACTTCAATTTAATGTATTTGGTTGATAGGTAAACCCGATATCTCACACAGAAGGGGGGCTGGAGAGTTCAGTGTTTGTCCACTTGTTTTTTATATGTCTCAGCAGCTTCTGCCAGCGCTTTTTTGGTGTCTTCCCATCCCTTCTTTAGCAATTCCATCCACTTGGTTAGAGTCATGGAGGAGGGTGGTTCTCTGGGCAGAGACAAAGTTTCTGGGGACAAAGTCTATGCCGCTGGTGACCTGAAAGGGGGTCAAGCCGGTGCTGCTATATATAGCATTGTTGTAAGCCACTTTGGCGAACGGCAGCAGGTCCGCCCAGTTCTCTTGCTGGTAATCCACATAACATCTTATATATTGCTCCACCATTGTGTTCGCTCCTTCTGAGGCTCTGTTCGTACTTGGATGGAAAACCGAACTAAATCCCTGAGTAAACCCGACTGATTTCAGGAACTCCTTCCAGAACATAGTGGTGAATTGGACACTTCAGTATGAGATTACCCGGTGGGGTACTCTGTGTAGCCGGTAAATCTGTTTGATTAATATTTTTGCCAATTTATTTTTATTTTATTTATTTTATTAAATTTCTATACCGCCCTTCTCCCGAAGGACTCAGGGCAGTGTACAGCCAGAAATAAAACCACGACAATAGAAAAATTAAAAACAAGTTAAAACAATTAAATCAATTGGCCGAAAATTCTAATAAAACAACTCATTAAAATAGTAAAAATATTATTATTATTTAGGCCAGCCCTGCTTGTTGGAATAGTAATGTTTTTAGGGCACGGCGAAAGGTACGCAGGTCGGTAATCCTACGAATCTCCGGGGGCAGCTCATTCCAGAGGGTAGGGGCCCCCACAGAGAATGCTCTCCCCCTGGGGGTCGTCAGCTGGCATTGTCTAGCTGACAGCACCTGGAGGAGCCCCTCTCTGTGGGAGCGTACCGGTCGATGGGAGGCTATCGGTGGCAGAAGACGGTCTCGTAGATACCCAGGGCCCATGCCATGGAGCGCTTTAAAGGTGGCAACCAACACCTTGAATCGCACCTGGAAGACCACCGGAAGGCAGTGCAGTTCACGAAGGAGCGGTGTTACATGGGAGTGTCGGGTCGCTCCCATAATTACCTGCGTGGCCGCATTCTGGACCAGTTGGAGCCTCCGGGTACACTTCAAGGGGAGCTCCATGTAGAGAGCATTACAATAGTCCAGACGGGAAGTGACGAGGGCGTGAGTGACTGTGCGTAAGGAGTCCTGATCCAGAAAGGGATGCAACTGGTAAATCAGGCAAACCTGATAAAAAGCCTCCCTGGCCACAGCTGTCAGATGGTCTTCCAGGGACAGCTGTGAGTCCAGGAGGACACCCAAGTTGCGAGCCCTCTCTGAAGGGGTCAAGATCTCACCCCCAATAGTCAGTGATGGAGTCAACTGACTATGACGGGATGCCGGAAACCATAGCCACTCGGTCTTGGAAGGGTTAAGTCTGAGCTTGTTCCTCCCCATCCAGATCCGTATAGCTTCCAGGCACCGGGACATCACTTCAAGGGCATCATTGGGGTGGCCCGGGATGGAAATGTACAGCTGAGTGTCATCAGCGTATTGATGGAAATCCACCCCGAAGCCACGGATGATCTCGCCCAGTGGCTTCACATAAATGTTGAACAGGAGGGGCGAGAGGACCAATCCCTGTGGCACCCTACAGACTAGGTGCCTTGGGGTTGACCTCTGCCCCCCTGCCAACACAGACTGCGTACGGCCGGAGAGGAAGGAAGCGAACCACCGCATAACGGTTCCCCCCACTCCTAACCCTTCCAGCCGGCGCAGCATGATACCATGGTCGATGGTATCATAAGCTGCTGAGAGATCTAACAGGACCAGGACAGAGGAAAGCCCCTGTCCCGAGCCCTCCAGAGATCATCGACCAATGCGACCAATGCCGTTTCCGTGCTATACCCAGGCCTGAAACCAGACTGGAACGGATCCAGATAATCCGCTTCATCCAGGTGCTGAGGAAGCTGTCGTGCCACCACACTCTCAACAACCTTCGCCACAAAACAAAGGTTGGAGACAAGACAATAATTTGATAAAACAGCCGGGTCCAGGGAAGGCTTCTTGAGGAGGGGCCTCACTACCGCTCTTTCAAAGCGGTGCGAAAGAAACCCTCACTCAAAGAAGCATTAATAATCCTCTGGAGCCAGCCTCGTGTAACCTCCCTGGAAGCCAGCACCAACCAGGAGGAACACGGGTCCAGCAAACATGTGGTCGCATTCAGCCTACCCAAGACCCTGTCCACGTCCTCCGGAGTCACAAGGTCAAACTCCTCCCAGCTAACATTCTCAAGACCTGCCTCTGTCATCCCATCTGAACCCATCCAGTCAGAGTCCAAGCCCTCTTGAATCTGAGTGATTTTTGTCGTGCAGATATTGCACAAAGTCCTCAGCCCTACCCTGCAAGGGGTCTTCCCGTGCTCCCGTATGGAGAAGGGAGCGGGTCACCCTGAACAGGATGGCTGAGTGGTTATCTGCAGACCCAATCAGAGTGGAAAAATAATTAAATTTTGCCGCTTTATTGCCACTAGGTAGGTCTTAATATGAGACCTCACCAGTGTTTGGTCAGATTCGGAACAGTTGGCCCTCCAACTGCTCTCCAGGCGTCTTTTCCGGCACTTCAACTCTCTCAGCTCCTTGGAGAACCAAGGAGCCAATTGAGAACAGCGCCGAGTCAGAGGCCGCAAAGGTACGACGCGGTCCAAAGCCCCAGTGGCCGCCCTATGCAGGCAGCCACTACTTCTTCAGTCGAGTCGTGGGCCAGAGCCTCAGGAAGTGGTCCAAGCTCCGTCCGGAACCTCTCCAGGTCCATCAGGTGTCTGGGACGGAACCATCTAACCGGTTCCATCTCCCTGCAGCGAGGGGTAGCGGTTCGAAGATCCAGTCAAAGGAGTGAATGATCAGACCATGACAAGGGCTGCATAACTAAATCCCCTATTTCTAGATCATTCTGCCACTGACCAGAGACAAAAATCAGATCCAAAGCGTGTCCCCCCATGTGAGTAGGGCCTCGAACTAACTGGGTCAGGTCCAAGGCTGTCATTGGTACCCCCAGGCTGATTGTCGTGGGGGATTTCAACCTCCCATCGGTCGGTGACACATCAATAGCAGCCCGGGAGCTGACCGATGGGAGGTTGAAATCCCCCACGACAATCAGCCTGGGGGTACCAACTGCCACCCCGGCTATCACATCAGGCAGCTCAGGCAGGGCCGCTGCCACGTATCAAGGAGCCAGGTACACGATCAGCTGACCCACCTGCACCCCATGGCCCCACTTCACAAGGAGGGACTCACATCCAGCTATCTGAGGAACAGTGGTCTCCCTCAGACATAGATCTTCGTTAATAACAACCGCCACCCCCTCCCCTCCCCTGGGCCCTCGGCTGATGGAATGCCCGGAAACCTGGTGGGCATATTTCTACAAGGAGCACCCCCCCTTCTGGGCCCAACCAGGTCTCCATGATACCCACCAGGTCCGCTCCCCCCTCCTGAATAAGATCGTAAATGAGGGGGGCTTTATTTACCACAGACCTGGCATTACATAACATCAGCTGGAGGTCCAGGGCCTGAGGATCTGAGCCACCTGGGAAACGAGAAAGGCATTGGGGACCGGAGCGCGCAATCGCTCGAAGGTAGCGAGTGTGCACTCCCGAAACATGATATGATCCCCTGCCAGCTCAGAT